CTCTCTCTCTCTCTCTCTCTCTCTCTCTCTCTCTCTCTCTCTCTCTCTCCTGCTACATAGTATTCCAACGTATGGTTATACCATAATTTTTGCCCCCAAATGTTGCCTATCACTAAGGCATTGGTTAGTCAACTAATTAATTGCTTAATAAATAAATTATGGGGGCTTCCCTGGTGGCGTAGTGGTTGAGAGTCCGCCTGCCGATGCAGGGGACACGGGTTTGTGCCCCAGTCCGGGAAGATCCCACATGCCATGGAGCGGCTGGGCCCGTGAGCCATGGCCGCTGAGCCTGCGCGTCCGGAGCCTGTGCTCCACAACGGGAGAGGCCCGCGTACCGCAAAAAAAAAACAACAAAAAAATAAATTATGGTATAGTTGGAAGGACACTGGGAGAAAAGCCCGGCGGCAGAGCACCTTCCCCCAGGAAGCAGTGGCAGAAGACATGGGGGCTGCCAGCAGAGGCTTGCCTAGAGGGTGAATAGTAGAGCCCACCAGGTAGAGAAACGCATGAGCCATCCTCCAAAAATAGTGAAGGTGACCCCACTGCTGGCAGGAACACATTGCTTCTAGAAGCAGTGAGAGTGACACTGAGGTTCTCTCCCAACACACACTTCTCGCTCAGGCTTGTGACTCAGCCCCCCTACTGCTCCCTTCCAATATTTCTGCATCAAAGCCTTCCCTTTAAGAATCAGAGGTTCCCATTGACTAAATCCTCCCTTTCTGAGGCCACCTTATCCATGCTTCAGTAGCCATAAGTTGATGACTCCCAAATGTACATCTCTAGTCTAGACTTCTCTTCTGAACTTCAGAGTTGCACGTTCAGCTGCCTTCTTGCATCTCCACTTGGAGGTCTCAAAAGCATCACCAATTCTTCATTTCCAAGATATGACTCACGTTACATCTTCCTATATCTGGCCTTCTTCCAAGTGCTCCTTCTCTCAGAGAATGGCATCTCCTTCCAACTGCACAAGCTACAAACCTAAGACATCTTCAGTACCTCCTTTTCCTGCATTTCCCCATATCCAGTCTGCCCAAATATCCCCTTCCATCTCCACTGCTCATTCTAATACAAGTAACCACAGGTTACCACAATCTCTTAACTGGTACGTTGCAGCCAAAGTGTTTCTTTTTTTTTTTTAAACTTGAAATCTCATGTTGTCACTTGCTTAAACCCTTTAGTAACTTTCCATTGCTTTTAAAATTGAACAGAATTCCTAGCATGGCCTTTAAGGTCCTACATGGTCAGACCCTGCCTACTTTCCTCCATTCTTACCTTGCACCACACACCTGCCGGCTCTTGGGCCTCTCCTACTGCAAGGTCATGCTCCCTCCTGCCATAGGCCTTTTGCTCACACACTTTTCCTTCTGTCTGTATCATTAACTTCTATTCAGTCTTTAAAGCACAACTCATAGAAGTCTTCTGCTGACCCTCTGCTTTGGTCAGCTTCCTTTTCTTCATTGCTCTGATCTCCTTTTGTTTTTTATATATATATATATTCCTTTGAGTGTTTCCAACATTTGATCAACATCTGTCTCCTCCACTAGGCTGTAAGCAACCTGAGTCTAGGGACTGCCTGTTTTTGCTTATCATTGTCACACAGAAATTAAATTTTGAATAAATGAACGACTGCTCACGGCATAGCAATGCACCCTTACCATCTCCTTGGAGACACAGCCCTATCTCTTGCTGCCTGGGGATGCTGCAGAAGAAGAAGCATCCACCAGCCAGGAGCTTGTGCTTTGGAGTCAGGGAGATCTGAGCCTGTTTTGGCGCTGCCATTTACCAGCTGTGGATTCTTGAGCAAGTCCCTTTATCTCTCTGAACTTAAGTTTCCCAGTCTCTACAAGAGGGTTACCACTTACCTCATAAGGTTGTTGTTGTTGTTTTAGTCACACCCAGTACATTTAATATGTATTTTTTAAAGAATCATCTTGGGGACTTCCGTGGTGGTCCACTGGTTAAGACTCCGTGCTCCCAATGCAGAGGCCCAGGTTCAATCCCTGGTCAGGGAACTAAGATCCCACATACCACAACTAAGCCCGCGCGCTACAACCAGAGAAGCCCACGCACCGCAATGAAGAGCCCTCACGCTGCCACAACAGACCCATTGCAGCCAAAATAAATAAATAAATAAATTTATTTATTAAAATAAAAAGTCATTGTGGGGACAATTAGAAACTTGGAAAATGGACAGTGTATTAGATGATTCTTTTTTTTTTGGCCACACCGCATGCATGCCGGATCTTAGTTCCTTGACCAGGGATCGAACCTGTGCCCCCTGCATTGGAAGCACGGAGTCTTAACCACTGGACCACTGGGGAAGTGGCCACAATGACTTTTTTAAATCTAGGATCCATTCAAAGTTCACCCATTGCATTTAGATGTCATACCTCTTTAGTCTCCTTTAATTTAAAGCACTTCACCTTACTTTTAAATCTTTTGTCTGTCATGATGTTGACACTTTGGAAGAGTCCAGGCCCATTGTCTGGTAGAATGTCCTCTGTTCAGCGTTTGCTGCCTCCTGTTTAGATTCAGGTGAGACTTTTTTGGTGAGAGGACCGCATCAACGAGGATGTGTACTTCCCCATACTCTCCACCTGGGGGCATACAGTACCATTTTGTCCCAGGTTTGGTGATGCTAAATTCAATCACTTGGTTAAGGTGGTGTTACCTAACACAGCTGTGATGGGGGATTAAATGAAGGAATGTACCTAAGGGGTCTGGTCCATAAACCTTAGTTCTTCCGCATTCCCCTTCAGCCTTCACTTTGCGGCAGATGCACAACCTTCTTTTTTTTTTTTAAGATTTTTTGATGTAGACCATTTTTAAAGTCTTTATTGAATTTGTTACAGTAATGCTTCTAGGGGCTTTCCTGGTGGCTCAATGGTTAAGAATTCGCCTGCCAATGCAGGGGACATGGGTTTGAGCCCTGGTCTGGGGAAGATCCCACATGCCGCGGAGCAGCTAAGCCTATGCACCACAACTACTGAGCCTGTGCTCTAGAGCCCACGAGCCACAACTACTGAGCCCATGAGCCACAACTACTCGAGCCTGCATGCCTAGAGCCCGTGGTCTGCAGCAAGAGAAGCCACCACAGTGAGAAGCCCGCGTACCGCAATGAAGAATAACGCCTGCTCGCTGCAATTAGAGAAAGCCCTCGTGCAGCAACGAAGACCCAACACAGCAAAACAAATAAATAAATAATAAATAAATAAATAAATTCTTAAAAAAAAAAATAATGCTTCTGTTTTAGGTTTTAGTTTCTTGGCTCTGAGGCATGTGGGATCTTAGCTCCCTGACCAGGGATCAAACCCACACCCCCTGCATTGGAAGGTGAAGTCTTAACCACTGGACTGCCAGGGAAGTCCCAAGATATACAACATTCTTGACTACACTTTCTCACCACAAGTGCCTCTTGGTGGGACTGGTAGTTATCACTAATTTGAGACTACTTTTTTTTAAATTAATTAATTAATTTTTATTTATTTGGTTGTGCTGGGTCTTAGTTACAGCACGTGGGCTTCTTAGTTGTGGCATGCGAACTTTTAGTTGCAGCATGCATGTGGGACCTAGTTCCCTGACCAGGAATCAAACCTGAGCCCCCTGCATTGGGAGTGCAGAGTCTTACCCACTGTGCCACCAGGGAAGTCCCAAACTTGAGACTACTTTTTAAAAAAATATTTTATTATGAAACTTTCAGGGGACTTCCCTGGTGGTTCATTGGTTAAGACTCTGCACTCCCAATGCAGAGGGCAAGCGTTCAATTCCTGGTCGGGGAACTAAGATCCCTCATGCCACACGGCATGGCCAAAAAAAAAAAAAAGATAAACAAGTGTGAATAAAATACAATTAAAATTTTTATTATGAAACTTTCAAATATACACAAAAGTAGAGAGAGTAGTTTAATGAATCTCAATGTATTCATCACCCAGTTCAAAACAATTATCACTATTTTACCAGTAAGCTTTGTAATTACTTTTGAGTTTTATCCTTTGAGCCTCTTCTTTTCTTTCCCTAATACACAGGTCTTTGAATTCTACAGGGGACATTTGGGAAAACTTTTCACTTATGAATTTTCCTTGTTCCATTGGTCCAGCTTGCAGGTAAGTGCTAATGATAAATGCATGCTGTTGGAGATAGTAGGCACTGGTTCAGCATGTCCAGAAGTGCTGCGGCACTTCTCAGACTGCACACCAGTCACCTGGGGGTCATGTGAAATTACAAATTCGGACTACATAGCTCTGGAATGGGGTCTGAAATTCTCCATTTCCAAACAGACTTCTAGGTAATGCCAGTGGTGCTGGTCTGAGAAAAAGCTTTGAGCAGGGAAGTGTTCTTAGAAGGTAAAACCTTGATATTTTGGATACAGACGATAAGAAACATCTGATAAGAAAGAAAGAAGCTAAGTAATGCCTGAGGTTCCTTCCAGCACTTAAATTCTTTGAGTCTTTGTTCCTAGCCTCTAGCAATTGCAGAAGTAACTAAGCACAATGAATTCACTCCTACTTGTAGGAAGAAGCAAGCTTGAATTAAAGACGTGAAACCCCTGCATAAAATTGCAGTACGTTTGTTCCAGTTCCTCCTATATAATCAACAATCCTAGTGTCGAGTTCGAGGCAATGGAAGCACTGCCCAGACTGTCACACAGATTTTTCCTTGCCTTTTAAAATATTTGTTTCTGTAGGCAGGCAGATGTATAGTTAAAGCACGGATAAACCAGTCTGTGGAGGTGTGACCCAAGAATTTTTATTTCTCTAAGCACTGAGGTGACAGTTCGTTATAGTCCCGAGAAATGAGAGGAGTGGTTAGAAAGTTCCAAAATATTTGCTCATGCTTTCACCTTAGATTATCATGTTGGTGTGGAATTTGGTCAATCAGCCACCACATATTAAGCATCTACTATGTGGACAAACAAGACAGAAACATCCTAGTGGTAGAGGAGACAGAAAATAAACATGCAAACAAATAACTAAGACAATTTCAGATACTGAGACATGTTCTAAAGAATTGAAACAGACCCTGCTTTTCCTTGTTTCAGGCTTTACCTCCTTTTTTTTTCTTTCTCCTTTCCTTTCCTTTTTTTCCCCTTTCTGCCAGTCCTTCCCATGAACTTAATTAGCATTAGATGATTGAGAAGGCTTACAAAGATAGCTCTCAAAAGAACCCTTTCAACTGCTACCAAAATAAGACTACACCAGCAATTACAAGAAAGAGGCAGGAATATCCCAATATATCCCACCCTTTTAAACTGCAGTGTTTTGCAGCACTTACAGATAAAGAAAATTGCAGCTTGGGACAATACCATAACCATATACCCCTTTCTGCTCTTGCCTTATAAAAACTCCAGTTCTGCTTCAGCTCAGGGAGTTAGCTAATTTTGAGGTGCTACCTGACACGCATCAGCTGAATATCTGAATTACTTTATTTTTTAGTTCCTTGACAGAATATAAAAGAGACCATTTTAAGGGGGAGAGACTGCTTTACTTGGGATGGTCAGGGAAAATGTCTCTGAGAAGGATTCATTTGAATCGAAAGTAAATAATAATAAGGTCAGCTTGAGATAATTTGGGGTAGAATGTTCTAAGCAGGAACCACACATACAAAGTCCAAGAAATTTGGTAGAAAGTGGAGAACATGGATGCAGGTGAGTGAATGAGGAGAGAAGGGCCACGTGGGTTGGAAACCCCTGGAGGTTTCTGTTTTGTTTGTTTTAACAGCTTTATTAAGACATAATTCAGAGAATTCCCTGGCGGTCCAGTGGTTGGGACTCCACACTTTCACTGCCAAGGGCCCAGGTTCAATCCCTGGTTAGAGAACTAGGATCCCGCAAGCTGCACGGCGAAAAAAAAAGACATAATTCATATACGATTCACCCATTTAAAGTGTACAATTCAACGTTTTTTAATATGTTCACGGAATTGTGCAACCATCACCACCATCAAGTTTAGAACATTTTCATCACCCCCAAAAGAAAGCCCATAGCCATTAATATTCACTTTCCACCTTCACACCCCGCTCTCACCCCCAGCCCTAGGCAACTACTAATATATTTTCTGTCTGTATGAATATGCCTATTCTGGCCATTTCATGGAAATGGAATAATACAATATATAGTCTTCTGTGACTGACTTTTTTCACTTAGCATAATGTTTATCCATTTTTATGGATAAAACATCCATAAGGTTTATCCATGTTGTAGCATGTATCAGTACTTCATTCCTTTTTATGCAGAATAGTATTACACTGTATAAATATGCTACTTGTGTTTATCCATTCATTAGTTGATGAACATTTGGGTTGTTTCCATTTTTTGGCTATTATGAATAATGTTGCTATGAACATTCACATACAAGATTTTGTATGCAAGTGTGGGTAAAAGGTTGTATTTCTCTTGGGCACGTAACTAGGAGTGAGATTGCTATTTCATATGGTGACTCTATGTTTAACCTTTTGAGGAACTGCCGAACATTTATTATCTTTTTATTTCAGCAATCTTAGTGGGTATCTCATTGTGTTTTCTTATGTACTGCTTTTTTTTACAGTTTTATTGATATATAATTGACATACAGCACTGTATAATTTTTATTTATTTAAATTGAAGTATAGTTGATTTACAGTGTTGTGTTAGTTTCACGTGTACAGCAAAGTGATTCAGTTACACATATATACATTTAAATTAGGTTATTTATCTTTTTATTGTTGAAGTGTAACAGTTCTTCATATATTCCAGATACAAGTTCCTTATCAGATATATGATTTGCATGTATTTTCTCCCATTCTGCAGGTTGTCTTTTCACTTTCTTGATGGTGTCCTTTGAAACACAAAAGTTTTTAATTTTAATTAAGTTCAACATCTCTTTTTTCGTTAGTTGCATGTGCTTTTAATGTCATACCCTAGAAACCACTGCCTAACCAAGAGTCATGAAGACTTACTTCTATGTTTTCTTCTCAGAGTTTTATAGTCTTAGCTCTTACATAAGAGGCCTATGATAATAGATAATAGTTAATTTTTGTATATGGTGTGAGGTAGAGGTCCAACTTCATTCTCTTACATATGGATATCAAATTGTCCTAGCACCATTTGTTGAAAAAACTATTCTTTCCTGGTGGCACAGTGGTTAAGAATCCACCTGCCAGTGCAGGGGACGTGGGTTTGAGCCCTGGTCCAGGAAGATCCCACATGCCGCAGAGCAACTAAGCCCATGCGCCACAACTACTGAGCCTGTGCTCTAGAGCCTGCAAGCCACAACTACTGAAGCCCGCCTAGAGCCCGTGCCCTGCAACAAGAGAAGCCACCGCGGTGAGAAGCACACGCACCACAAGCAGAGTAGCCCCTGCTCGCCGCAACTAGAGGAAGCCCACGCACAGCATCGAAGACCCAATGCAGCCAAAAATAAATAAATAAAAATAAGTACATTTATAAAAAACAAAAAGAAAAACACTATTCTTTCCTCATTGAATCGTCTTGGCACCCTTTGAAAGATCATTTGACCATTTATGCATGGATTGATTGATCTATTCCATTGATCTATTTGTCTGTCTTCATACTACTACTACATTGCCTTTTTTTAAAAAATAAATTTATTTACTTATTTTTCGGCTGCGTTGGGTCTTCGACGCTGTGCACGGGCTTTCTCTAGTAGCGGTGAGCAGGGACTACTCTTTGTTGCGGTGTGTGTGCTTCTCACTGCGGTGGCTTCTCTTTGTTGTGGAGCACAGGCTCTAGGCACACGGGCTGCAGTAGTTGTGGCTCATGGGCTCTAGAGCACAGGCTCAGTAGTTGTGGTGCACGGGCTTATTTGCTCCGTGGCACATGGGATCTTCCCGGACCAGGATTCGAACCCATGTCCCCTGCATTGGCAGGCGGTTCTTAACCACTGCCCCACCAAGGAAGTCCCCACATTGTCTTAATTTCTGTAGCTCTGTAGTAAATTTTGAAATCAGAACTTTGTTTTTTCCCACAGTATTTTAGTATCAGCTTGTCAGTTTCTGCAAAAAAAAGCCACCTGGGATTTTGATAGGGATTACATTGAATGTGTAGATCAGCTCGGGGAGTATTACCCTTTTAGCAGTATTAAGTCTTCTTCTCTATGAACATAGGATATTTTTCCATTTATTTAGATCTTTTTATTTCTTTCAACAGTTTTTTATACTTTTCAAATATACAGGTTTTACACTTCTTTTGTTAAATTTATTACTAAGTACTTTATTTTTGATGCTATTGTAAATTAAATTGTTTTTCGATTTCCTTTTTGAATTGTTTGCTAGTATGTAGAAGTAGAATTGGTGTTTGTTTATTCATCTTGTATCCTGCAACCTTGCTAAACTCCTCTATTAGTTCTAATATTTTTTTAGTGGATTCCTTAGGATTTTCTATATATAAGATAATGTTATCTGCAAATAAAGATCATTTTACTTCTTCCTTTTCAATCTGTATGCCATTTCTTTCTTGCTCAATTGCCCTGGATAGAATCTCCAATATATTATTGAATAAAAGGGTGAGAATGGACATGCTTGTCTTGTTCCTGGTCTTGTGGGGGGAAGTATTCATTTCTTCACCATTATGATATTAGCTGTGAGTTTTTTATAGATGTCCTTTGTTTCAGTTTAAGGAAGTTCCCTTCTATTCTTAGGTTACTGAGTATTTTTAATCATGAAACGTTTTTGGATTTTTGTCAAATGCTTTTTTTTTTTTTCTTGCACCTATTGAGATGATCAAATGGTTTTTGTCCTTTATTCTATTAATGTGGTGCATTAAATTAATTGATTTTCCAATGTAAAATCAACCTTGCATTCCTAGGATAATTCCCACTTAGTTATGGTGTATAATTCTCTTTATATACTACTGCATTCAGTTGACTAGTATTTGTTGAGGCTTTTGCGTCCATATTCATAAGAGATATTGGTATGTACGTTTTTTTGGTAACTTGTCTTTCTGGTTTTTGTATCAGAGTAAACTGGCTTCATAGAACGAATTGAGAAGTGTTTCCTCCTCTCCTATATTTTGGAAGAGTTTGAGAGGATTCATATTAATTCTTTAAATGTTTCGTGAAATTCACCAGTAAAGTCATCTGGGCTTGGGATTTTCTTTGGGGGAAGTTTT